ACAGTCAGGAGGCAGGGAGGGAGGCTGACTGCCTGAAGTGGCTGGTTGAGATGGGTTTGCCAGTTGCTCCTGCAGAGACGCTTTCCATCTTCATCTCTTTGATTTAAAAAGCTAAAGTCTGATGTTCTACGCTGCTGCGTGTTGTGTGCCATTTTAAAGTGGGTCAGTGTATTCCATGTGCCTAATCATTACCGATCTGCTCCTCTGTTACTGCGCTCTAGCTTTTTTCTTTTTTCATGTGATGGAAAACTGATGAGCCATGCCACGCGTGCTATTTATAGGGAGCATTCTTCCTCTGATAAAAGTAGCATTCAAAGTGTGTGAGTGCGCACATTCAGAGATAAGCAACAGTGTCTGATAACTGTCACTGCAATGTTTTATTTTTATTTAACACCTACATGCAGGCCACACTGTAAATCACAGTGGATGACCAACAGAGAGGAGGGAAGAAGCTGAATACATTACGACATGTGAAGCCAAGGCCAGTGGATGCTGTGATAGTTTGTAGCTGAAGGGGGTTTCCACTCAGACAGCATCAATGTGGTCTACTGTTTTCTCTCTCAGGCTTCAGTCTAATTGTATTTGCTGTAATGAGGTCTACTGTAGGAAGTCTAAAAGGGCACCAGGATCATGTCTTCCTTTGACTTTATTTCTACTCTGACAGCCTTGATTGCAGCAGTGTGAAACATCTTGATCATACATTGTATTTCTATCAGTCTTGAGGAATTCCCTTAGACACATGTTGGGGCTCTGACCCAGTTGTAAGCTCAATATGTGGGGAGTATCAGGAATGCACGTGTTGTTTTTTGTTCTTTTTCTTCAAAACATCCGCACGAGGGTGATTTTTTAAAGCTACGTGTTGATTCACAGTCACATATGGACTGTGTGTTTGAGTTTAGCTTATGAAGTTCATTACATCAAACAGGAGGGTTAAGCAGAGCCAGATCTCCCGTAATTTAGCGATGCCTTTCGGATGCACCTCCAGCGGTGTTGTTATGAGCTCATCGTTCCACATTTATAGCCGGAGCGGAGTGAAGTCAGAGGGTCCAACTGGTGTTTATGTGGGACTTGTTGAGGTAAAGAGACCAGCAGGCATGAAGGACCAGCTGTGTATGAACACATGCACTTACACACATAAGTCATGTCTTTTATAGAGAATGCTCCTCAGCACTTCCAACCTCTGTGTGCTCAACAAGAGCGTGGCCCAGCAGAGCTAGTTAACATTTTCCATGTTACTTTTCTGATAAAGAGTCTAAAATGCAGTGTTGGATTGGATAAGTGGCCAATCATTGTGTCTACAAATACTCATCTACTTCAATCAGAGGAAAATGTACAGCTACTACATGTCGTGATTTTATGAAAGGTCTCTCAGGCGTATCATCAGCCCCTTGATCCACTCAACAGATTATTTTCTGCTACTTTTCAAGTAACTTCTTTTATATCTGAACAGTTGGCGTCTAATGGTGCTCTTCATCTGTGTTTTTCATTAATGACGCTTGGCAGACACACACTCGAGGCCCCTTTCATCACCAGATATAATCGACAAGGGAAATGTGAAGTGATGTGAGGAAAATGGAAACTTTCACGGGGAAAATCTGAAACGTTTTGAGGGCAAAAAAGAAACTAAATGATTCAGTTTGAAACATAACCAATAATAACAGCAACTAAAATCAAATTATTAAAATGATTTATCTCTGTATTATTATTACAATCTTCAGATCTAGTGGCCTATGAGTCACTGTATAGTTTTCAACTCAAATCTAAAAATGTGATTATGATGATTATAATTAGGTCCAAAACTAATTATAATCCAAACTAATTATAATCCAGAGAAGTGTTAACCTAGACCGGAGCTCAGGAAAAGTCAACATGGGTGACTGATGGTCTGGAGGAGTTAAAGCATCCATGACTTATTACCAACATGTTTCTTCACTGTTTAGTGTCGCTGAGAGGATTAGACCACCATAAAGTCCTCCAGATGGCTTAAGGGGGTCCGTTCACATTCCACAGCTAACTTAAGGTCACACAGATGAATCATCAAAACAAATGAAGCTTACGGGCCCTGACACGCCAAGCCGACAGTCTCTGTGGATGACCATCGCAAGTAGTCTCTTTTGTGAGTCCGGCACCGATGGCTCAGGCCGGCAGATAGGCAGATATGTTACAACATAAAACCCAATCCAGGCCTCTAAAAAATCAAATTAAACATCTGAGGAGGGAAAATCCCTCTTTGGTTAAACTGTTAGCCACTCATAGACAATACAAGCCTAGTGGAATCGTAGACTTTGTATGAAGGGGTCAGAAGAATAAAGTTGAGTGTAATAACTTCAGCATGTAAGCTGCAGAAATGTAAATTGTTTCTGAGATCCTCTGAGATCCTCATCATCACACATGGCAACTGAACATTGTGGTGCAACTTGACGCAGTTACTTCTGGACCCCGTCGACCCTCTCACCCTTCCCCTGGGGAGACACGTGTACACAGTTTGGTTCGTAGTCACTAGAAAAGGCCCCGAGGCTACATGACCGACTTAAACGCAGTCACACACACGCGAGCACGATGAGCTAATTCACAAATAATGAAATACTGTTTGAGTCTGGAAGGATTGATATCACATAGACTGATGATTTATCTGACATTTCCTCTTCCCCTTAACTGTCTTTATTTCTACTCTTCTGTTGAGGAAGCATATCCTAAATGTGAGCACAGCAGCTGTCGCCTGTCAAATGTTGTTTAAGAGAGTGTGTGTGTATGTGTGTGTGTGTGTGTGTGTGTGTGTGTGTGTGTGTGTGTGTGTGTCATGCCTGCCTGGCAAGCAAATGGCAGCCACAGCGTAGAGCCACACACCCTTTTCATCTCCGTCCAGCTGTCCTCTCTTCCTGTTTGTAGTGCTGCACCTAAGTAACACACACACCCGCACATACACACACACACACACACACACACACACACAACCACGGATTTAAATTTAAAGCCATCCACTAACAACTCTGATGCTAAAAATCCTGATAAAACAGTTGTATTTAGGATCTTTCCATCCCACAGTATTCATATTTTGATTATGACTTTAGATTTTCTTCACTCATCTCTCATTCATATTTTCGATTCTCTGATGCGTTGTGTTTACTCCTGCTGGCAATATCAGACAGTTATTGTTTACGGCTCCTTTTTATGAGGCTGCTTGCAGGACACATAAAGAAATTAAGTCAGTCAATAAACCCTGCAGCTGCTTTCTTCCCATGTCCATTACGAAGCCATTACATCTGTTTTCTCCTCTCCGTCTCTCTCTCTCTCTCTCTCTCTCCTTCTCTCTCTGTCTCTCTCTCTCTCTCTCTCTCTCTCTCTCTCTCTCCTTCTCTCTCTGTCTCTCTCTCTCTGTTTCTCTCTCTCTGTCTCTGAAATGATGTTGTATTGTCAACATGAACTTTAAACATAAGGTTGAAAAGGAGGACAATTCTTCATCTGCAAGTACCCTATTCTGTGTCCCCTATTTGTTCCAGGACCAAATACAGCAAAGTGGGGATGTTATCTTACTCTTTTTATAAAAACCTAGTGGTGGCATGTTTTCCTGGTATTTTGCTGGAAGGTTCTGCTCAGATTAATTACTTAAAAAGCAGTTAATTAATATGCTTGTACGGTGTCTTCCTCCCTGCAGCCCGAGGGCCGTCAGCATGTGTTTATCTGTTGGTGTGTGTTCTTGGTTTCACTGCTGCTCACCAAGGAGGGCGGGGCAGCAGACATATGGCTGAAGGGAGTTTATTGATTCTTTGATCTTCACATTTTCTTCCTTTTTGTCTCAGTTACGCTGTTTACTTTCAGCTTTATGGACCATTTAGAAGTAGGGTTTCTCTTTTCAGGTGATAGGTAGTTCTGCTGTAATTTTCCAGTAACTTATAAAGCATCTCAGACTTCTGTCTGCGTCCATGAGCTCATGTTTTGCTCTTCATATTTACAAATATTAGTAAACCTTTTATGATCTAGACGTTTTCTCTGAATTATGTATTTTAATATAATCTAAATGTGCCCTTTTAAAGAAATAATATGCAAATATCAGTTTTCTCTTTAGATAAGGATACTACACAATGCCAAATTTCTGTTTTTCTTTTGCATTTATTTGATTGTTCTTTGTTCAGCACCCCTCCGTGAAATGCCCCGCCTCACTCTTGGCACACTGAATTTGCAATGCAGATCATTGCAGTTGAGAAGTGCTGTCAGAGGGCTCACTCCCTCCAACATTTTCTGCCACTTAAAGCACAAAATGAAGCCACGAGCACAGCCTCGGGGGAGCACACAGCTCTGGTGGACCCGGCCCATCGTAGCTCATGTTTAATCATAGAAGTCATCAGGTATGCCAGTGGGTGGCTCATTTACATTGATGGGCACAAAAATTACCTTAAAGGAGTTTTAAAAGGGGGTCGATATTGATATATGTGGAGGTGTGGGCCACTTTATCGATGTCTCAGTCGATCAGAGTCACAAGCAAGGACAAACAGATTTAATGAGCAGCAGTGAAAGTGGGAAGGTTGTTACTCGATGGAGTTGATCTTCTCATTTTGTCGCGATTTATGTGAATACTTTTAGAGTGTTTGGTTTTCTCTCGTTGGTCTGAAGAACATGGAGAGCTGAAACCTCCAGTCCTCAGATCTGCCCATGTGATTAATCTGCTCATTGCCTCCTCTGCTTTTTGGCCACAACTCAATTCCCTCTCTTGTTTGCAAAACTGCCCTAAGCTCTCGGTGGGGGATCTGGCAGCAGCAAATTCAATCTCCCAGCTCTCAGTATTACCCTCAGTGACCAGACCTCGCCCTACTTCCCCGACCAGCTACCAAAGCCTCATGTTGCCTGTTGCTCCGGTCACATCAGAAACTCTGTTGTGAAGTCTAGTGTTTTTCACTAGAGATCAGAAAACAATCCCTTTGACATCTTTGTACATCGAATGTTCACAGCCCAGAGAAAACAGAATGTCCTTTTAACTGTGTCTTTGGCTTTTCTCTTAACAGGTTGCAGGGGAACAGAAATATCACCCAGAATGCTTCACCTGTCTGAACTGCAGGATGTTTATCGGGGATGGCGACACATACGCTCTGGTGGAGAGATCCAAACTCTACTGGTGAGCAATATTATAAGACACGCACACACCTGACTATCAAAGTCTGTCAAAATCAAATCACACTGTGAAATGTAAACCGTGTTACATTCCTCTTTAACCGGCCTGATGTTTTAACACTGGCAAATCAAAGCCTGTGCAGTTTATGGTGGGGTAGCTCCGTTACCCGACTAATTTACCAAACTACTATTTTCTTTTTTTAGTTAGTTTTCCTAATTCTCTCTTCTGCAACAATCTAATCCCTTTGAAGTGTAATGAATCCACAAAGAAACGCACAAGAAGCCAAAGCTGCAGTTGATTGACAAAATCTTAAATGTATGCAGCTTATTTTGGGCTTCAAAGACTTTTTGTCGACATAATGACCAACTGTGGTGACAACTGACTCTAATGCAGGGTGGAAATTCACATTCGCACTGTTTGAGATGTGGTGCTTCTTTTTTTGGGTATTTTCTACCAAATATACAACACAGAAAGCTGCACAAAGTACAGTTGTTCTAAGCTGGTGACAGAGATGCACTGTGGTGAATCGCTCAAAACACCGTAGATGCAGAGTAGATCATTTCTATGTGTTGTGATGGCTCTAATCGTAAACCCCGAAAATACAAAAATCAGTTCATTATGAAATCTCCCCCTCTTTTTGTTTCTGTCTCTGGTTCCGGTTGTTCTTGACTTGTTTCGCTCCGGGGTTGTGTCAGTGTGACTGCCAGCGTTCAATGTGTAACAAGCTGCACGACACAGATATACAAACAGACAGAACAGCCTTTGTCCTCTTCTCTGAGTGGAAGTGGATGATGACAGCGGGATTGTCTCAGATCATTACATTTATTAAGAGGTTTACCAGATTCGGTCAAAGTGCACTGTGTGTTTTGTAAAAAGGTCATTCAGATTACATTTTCACTCTTAGTTTTGAATCATTTCATAGCTATTTCATGAGTCCTTACATTCTGAGCATTCGTCATGTTTCAGGGAATAATAGTCAGCTCAGTGTTTTCCCAAACTCAGTAAAGCAACAACATGTGATGCTATAAAACTGCAGTAATGAGAACTTGATGATTGCATGGACGGCTTTAGAGCCAGAAACCTCACTAGGATTCCCCCTTTTTTGTTTTTTTTATAACTTTCTTCCTCCTTTCCAATCTATCCTTCCCTTCACTTCCTCTCTGGCTCCAGCGGTCAATGTTACTACCAGACCATCGTCACGCCGGTGTCTCTGTCGGACACGCCGGGCTCACGGATCCCTCACACGGTCACACTTGTGTCCATCCCGGCATCCGCCGAGGGGAACAACGGACGCAGAGGACGAGGTTTCTCTGTGGCCATCGACCAGCCGCTCAGCCCGACCAACGGCTACAGCCCTGAACATGGACCCACTGTCAGAGTCTCCCAGTGAGTCCATCTGTCCGTGTTTGTGTGGGTGTTTTATGGATTGTCATTGTGTGAAGAGAGGAGACAGTAACTGTAGGAGAAGAGGTCAGTGTGGTGGAGGACAAAGGATGAGGAAGGGTAGACAGTGTGATAGATGAGATTCATTTAAAATGTATAATAGAGTGGAAGGAAAAAGGAAATGAGCCGAAATCTAAGCCACTGTTATCCAAATGAGCTGAGACTTCATCAGAGAACAGGTCTGTGTCCAAACAATGATGTTTCAATGTGTGCAGAAAGGTGTTTGAAGAGATATTCTGCCTTTCTTCTTTATTCAGGGTGGAACCAGACTGCATCAGTCCAGATGTGAAAAACTCCATTCATGTTGGAGATAAGATCCTTGAAATCAACGGGACGCCCATTCACAATGTCCCTCTGGACGAGGTATTGACCACACTGAAAGATTTGACTCTATTGTATATATGCAAATGGAAAATCTTCATCTCATTATTTCTTCATTGCAGCACTGTTAAGCATTTCAGCAGATTCCATCCATTGGAGAATTTCTCCAGCTATCATAATGACCTCTGCTGTTGTAAATGTGGACTGAGCACCCTCATCTGAACTCTTCCTCTCCAGATCGACCTGCTCATCCAGGAGACGAGCCGGCTGCTGCAGCTCACCATCGAACACGACCCTCACAGTCTGGAGGGAGGCTCCTCAGAGGCTGAAGAGCAAGTGGACGGGCCTCTGTCCACCCCGCTGTCAGGGGGCCCCAGCCCCATCCTGCCCATCACACAGCCCCCCAACCCCGACATCAACAGCCTGAGATCCCGTATCATCACGTAAGAAACAGATTTAGTGCGGCTTATTGCAGACAGAGATATTTTTGCTATTTGCTCTACTTCCTGAACCAAAGCCGCTCTTATCCCTACATGTGTAGATTATATATTTAACTGCCAAAAATTAATTCCTTTAGGTTCAGCTCTAACTTGAGTTAGCACACGATAGAAAAGTTGTAGTGTATGTTCCTGTCCATTGCACCTGTCCTTGATAAGGATAAGCTTAGATGAAAACTTCTGTTATTCCCAATGAGGTCATGGCAAACGTTAATCAAATACTCTTCTCTACCCCTATTGTTCCTCTCCTTCTCGTCTCTCGCTTCCTGTGACTCTTCCCGTCTCCCCTCTCACCCTCCAGGAGGAGCTACAGCATTGATAAGTCACCAGGCTCCAGCAACGCAGCGTCCCCCATCTCCCAGAGGAAGGACATCAATCGATCCGAGTCGCTCCGCGTCGTGTCCAATCAGACGCATCGCATCTTCCGCCCATCTGACCTCATCCATGGAGAGGTGCTGGGGAAGGGCTGCTTTGGACAGGCCATCAAGGTAGATTTGGGCACAGAGACACATCTAGCTGTATGTGAAGTACACCTGCAGCATTCTTCAACGTTTTAGAGAAGAAATGTTGTCATACTCACAATGTCCAGAAGGTGGCAGCATTGAGATGAGAAAGAGAAGTGTGGAGAGGCAGGAGGTTAAAATTCTTAGTTATAACATATCCTGGACTTTTCTTTTTTAATTTCCCTTGCTGACAGGCAAAAGGGGGAATGAAACTCTCACACACTTAATGGTTAACATTGCCTCAGTCTCCCAGCTTGTTGCTCAGCTTGATTGTTTGCATCGTTGCATCTTGTAGGTGACCCACAAGGAAACTGGGGAGGTGATGGTGATGAAGGAGTTGATCCGCTTTGATGACGAGACACAGAGAACATTCCTGAAAGAGGTGAGTGGAGACGGACGATCCCAGATGTTACATCATTTAGGATTAACAGATTAACTCGGTTTTCTATTTAGTCTTCCTAAACAGAAATATGAAATCATTAAGCATTGACCTCAGATCATAAAATAAGCAGTATTTCCTTGAATACGAACATAATTCTAGTCAGTAAAATGAGGGCAGTCTGTACCCTAAAGTTAGAGGAGTGCATTTGTTGCCTGTTTGAATTTCTGGACCAGCTGTAAAAATCTGTGCTTTTTTTTACCATGGCCAGAAGCTGAAAATTGTAGTTAAAATTAGCATCTCCTCTGTGTGAATGTAGGACATGACTGAATAAAAAAGGAAGGGTTCTAGCTCCTGAATAAATGGAAGTAAAATGAAATTACCTCTGAAATAGTACGAAAGGGAGCGTTAACAGTCCTTTCTCCCAAAAAATGCTGGAAGAGCAGAACTCATTTCACTGCCACACAAAGCTTCATTTATCTCCCGTCCTTCCAATAATCTGCAAACATGACAGAAAACGACTCATACGCTGAAGTTTAGGCTTCTGTAAGACTTGTTGAGTTACTTTTACCCTTGAAGTGATCTGAATTACTTCTGTATTGTAGACTCACTCACTCATCCACTTCACTGCCTTCTAATTGGGATGTTTGAAGTTCAGGAAAATTGTTCCCATATGCGTGGGGTAATAGATTTATTTTTAGGTTACAATAACACAGAGTCTTTGCTTTGTAATTGGTGTAGACAACGACAGAGAGGCCATAAAACAATGAAGCATGATTATTACTTGTTTGTAGGTGGCCGAAGTCTCACGTTACTCAGTGTCTTGTGATCTGGTTTGAGAAAAGGAATGCACCAAACATTTCAGACAAAGACATCATGACACTTGAAGGATGATATTTCAGGTTTATCTGCATGTAATAGAGACTAGCCTCCTCCTCGTTCACAACCCTACCCTGAAATGTTTTACGAGGTGTCATACTGTAGTAGTGCTGTGAACACTACTTGTAACCTCTTACACTATACTTGCTGGGCAGCTTTTTCTTTGCTTGGCGCTCTTTGTTTATTTAGCAGTTCTCAACTATGCAGGAAGTTTCTTTGTTGCCTTGCTTATCAAAATAAATAGAGCATACACCTGTAAGCATGTGTTGTGGGGTTCAGTGACAATGGGACAAAAAAAATTGACTAAAGCTGAGATTTAGATGTCAGTTTGTGAAGTAGACGCTGTCCACCTGATTACATTCTGTCTGCACATTTAACAGACTGATTATAGGACTATCAACCTTTTGACAAACAATCTTGAGCAACTAGATTCCCTGAAATGAATTGGTACAATTCATTCCAACTGGGAACAATCCTCAAACTTTATTTGGACTCCCAAATGCTTATACTCAACTCAGTATCCTTAAACAATAAGATAAAAGGAATAGATAAACTAATTTACTTTAGCAAGATGAAAAGACAACAACACTCTCACGTCTGTACGGTAAATATGAAGCTCAGCTGAGCACAAAGACTGCTCCCGCGAGAGAAATAGTCCAGCACATAACCTCCTGTAAAACACAGCTTGTTGTTTTTACACTTTGGTTTTTGTGCAGATTAAACAAACAATATATAAAATGTTAATTTGTGAGCTTTAGAGGTACTGGTATGCAGATCTTTGTCACCTTCGGACGGAGCCAGGTGGTCTGTTTCCTCTGGTTTTCAGTCTTTATGCTACACGCTAACAGGCTGCAGCTACATATTTATGTGTATGAGAGTGGTATCGATCTTATTATCCAATGGCAAGATAGTGAGTATTTGTGTTTTCCAAAATGGCAAACTATTGCTTTTAATTTCACCCAGACCTAATGTCTATCAAGATCCTTGTGTGTAGTGTGTAAATATGTCTGCGTTGTCACATCAGGTGAAGGTCATGCGTTGCCTGGATCACCCCAACGTGCTCAAGTTCATCGGAGTCCTCTACAAGGACAAGAGGCTCAACTTCATCGCAGAGTACATCAAGGGAGGCACCTTGAGAGAAATCATCAAGAAAATGGTGAGAGGGCAGCGTGTGCCTGCAGACATTTGAGGTTGTCTGCTTCCTGCTCAGTATTCGAGTAGCACTATTAGTAACTGAGGAAGCGGTCTAGTCTTGCACTGCCTCAGGTGGAGTCTTTGTATTTTGTAGGTGTAACGTTTTGTTTAGATGTCATGATTCATCAGCGTCAACTGCCACTGAAGACAATGACATTTGATTCTGATTTTTGCTCACAGGACAGCAACTATCCCTGGAACCAGCGGGTCAGTTTTGCCAAGGACATAGCTGCTGGGATGGTGAGTTCAATGACGGAAAATTGCATGTCATTTGAATAGTTGAGGTAAACTGTGAAGCCTCCTCAGACAGTGAAATTCCTTGAAATGCAGCAGTAAAGGAAGGTGCATTGCTTCCTGTTATCTTCACTGCTGTCTCCCTCTATTGGTCGTGTTAGCGAGTTGCACACACAACACTTCTGCTAATAATGTGCACAATCCTTTCCATCCCCCACTATTGAAATTACAGCATAAATTCCTGCAGGATTAGACCACCACTTCTTAATGTTTTCCCTCCATATGACTACAATGAAGAACGTTGTGCTTGACTGGATCATTGTATTTACAACACCAGCTACTTGAGATGAAACAAGGCAGGATTGTTCCTCTTGGCATGGGTTTTAGATTACAGCACCACTAAAAGCTTCTATGTTTTCTGTTCACTCTTCCTTCCTTTCTGTCCTCTGCTGTCTGTCCGTCACTCAGACATATCTGCATTCCATGAACATAATCCACCGGGACCTGAACTCATACAACTGTCTAGTCCGAGAGGTAAGAACTTATGCATTCCTGTACGAGAGTCAGTACATCTGAAAGTGTTTGGAAAATCCACCTTAAGAGAAATCAGAAGCTTGAAGTTGAATTTCAGGCTTTGTAAAGCTGTTACCTTGAAGCTCTTGTATCACTCTCTCGTGCAGTATTAGGCAGCATGTATGCTTGCAGCATAACAATAACCATTTCATGATGTGTTTCATTTTCTTGGTGTAGAACAACACAGTGGTGGTGGCAGACTTCGGGCTGGCGCGGCTCATGGTGGACGACAAGCACGAGGAGAAATTGTCGCACGGTAAACTGCCCGGCCTCAAGAAGCACGACCGTAGAAAGAGGTACACCGTGGTGGGAAACCCCTACTGGATGGCTCCTGAGATGATCCACGGTACGATACACACGTGTCTTTTTAAGTAATATGGAAATAATAATGTATTCATGTAAACCCATTCACGCCTTCCCAAGATAACGAAAACTACAGTTGATGACTATGTGGCTTTCCTCCTAAAACTTAAAAAACAGCCTAATTTTGTCATTTTCCCTTTTCAGGGAAGAGCTACGATGAGAGAGTAGACATCTTTTCCTTTGGCATCATGCTCTGCGAGGTGAGTGACTTTTAGTACTAATAAAAAAGCAACTAGGTTTTTCAAAGGGGTTACTGTTTGATTAGCGCTTTATAGCTTTATAGCTTTTCCCCCAAAAGCTTAAAAGTAATTTGTTAAAGTTGCTTTCTTTGTTACTTTTAAAGTTAATCTCGCTTCATCGTTGTAAACTTTGTATTTTGACAGGTTTCGTGCAAAATATGGAAAATGTAGCCATCTGTCAAAAAATGTCACGTCCTCCCAATATTTATGAAACATCGATTTAAATTTACGAGGGAAAAGTCGTGCTTCTCCAAAATTCCACATTTTTGCTTTCCATCCACATGATTTACGCTCAACAGTTTAGTTCAGTCTCTCTGAAGCCCCAGAGTATGACTTCCCCAGATGAACACCATTAGCCAGAGAATATTTTAGGGATTAGAGGGAGCAGAAAAGCAAAGTTGTCTTCATGTGGCTTCTGACGGGGGCAGACAAACAGTGGTTGTGGTTTGCTGGGAACGATCAGCTTCAGTTTGGAGGGTTTACTGGTTTCAGCAGATCGGAGAAGGAGAAACCATGTTTAACTCTTCTTTCTCTTTCTCTCCGTTTTTCTATTTTGTTTTTTTTTGCCCTCTCTAGATAATTGGCAGGGTGAACGCAGACCCAGACTACCTCCCCAGGGCAATGGACTTCGGACTGAACGTGTCTGGTTTCCTGGAGCACTTCTGTCCCGCTAACTGTCCCCCTGCCTTCTTCCCCATGGCTGCTGTGTGCTGTGACCTTGATGCAGACAAACGGTCAGATATCTACAATAAATCCACATTGAATTTTATGCCCAGTTCACCCAACATAAAGTTACTGATATTTTTAATAAGAAACAATAACCAGTTCTAGCTAGAATTCTGCACAAGAGGACTATGTTTTATTGTTTTTTGGGGTGAATGTAAATACATAAAATAATATTTTTTAACTGAGATGCCTATGTGCTTTCTTAATCTTTAGGCCGGCTTTCTCCAAACTTGAGGGGTGGCTGGAGAACCTGAAGATGCACTTGGACATTGGTCTACCGCTGGTGTCTGAAGTGGACCAGCTGCACAAGGCCTTCTGGGTGAAAGCACAGCATCGTGCGCCCTGAAAATGGCCTGCACACCCACCCCGAACAGCCGGAGTAAGGCTTAACACGACTGGAGGAGTGGGAAGTTGGAGTAACCCCCACATGGGCAGCGATCATCTGCCTCATGGCGGAGCAAAGGCCGGAGGAGTCGTGTTTATGCTCCTCCACATTTGAAGCTGCGGGCGTAGGCTTGCTCAAGCTTAACGAGCAGACTCAGGGGAAAACGTGGATCTGAAAAGCCACCTGTGCAAGACGCACACACACACATTCAAAGTCAAATCAAGAGACATTAACTACGAGAGCTTGATTCTGCTGCACCCGAAGCTAAAGTGGAACGTGTCATATGCAATCAGACCCAACTTTCAAATCATGACTAGACTCTTGAATCATGTAGATTTAACTTTAGCGGTCATACCATTCAAAAATACTTAGTGTATTGTGTATATTCATAAGGACAAAGTAGTCCAAAAGACCAGGCATAAAGCAAAGCTTCAGCCTCCTCACTTTGGGCCTCTACATTGTGCAGTACTGTACGTGTTTGCAGGTGTTTCTGTGTGAGTTTGGTTTGATTTTGCTTTTTGGTTTTAGATATCAAAACTGAACTTAGGAAAAATGCAGAGGAGAGGGGCCCGCCTGTCGCTTAAGACACAAAGGACGAGATCAACTTGCTGACCACTTGTACAAGTCCAACTAAACCTTTCAAGCTTTAACTAATTCACTGAAGAATGCATGAGTGTAAATAATGCTGTCAGGTCACGTCCTGGTTCATCGTGTCCTTCTGACCTCATTTGGTCACAAACTGCGAGACCTACATGCGTCTGTGGCCCCTCTCCCTCATTTATTGTGTAGCACTGACTTTACATTGAGATCTTTTGCATAGATTCGGTACATTTTAAAGAGCTGTTAGCGCATCTCATTCACATTGACGTGGCATCTTATACATTCAAACACATACCAGTGTACATTGTAAATGTTTTAAATATTGTAAATGTACAGACATATTTTATATACCTATGCTACATTGCCATATTTTTATTGGCCGACCAGTTGACATTATGGAGAGTAAAAGTTTGACTGCAGTCGATAGGGCACAGCTGAAAGCTTTGCTGTTGTTTTTTCTACATTGTTGCTACTGTGGCAGGTTAGAGGCTTTTAGCGTTTGAGATAAGAGGAATCTTATCACCACAAAATACCCCCTACCCTCAGTTTAAGCTCAGTAAATGTTACAGTCTGTCATCCAAAAAAGTGTTTCTCAACACTTGACCTGCCATCTTTTCATTCGCTGGAGTAAATTTAATTGTAATACTGGACTATTAAATCAAATTAAACTTGCTGATGTAAATCTGCATATTATCATCAACTCTAATATTATGTGATTTTAGAATTTTGAGGGCAATCAAATGTTCCTCACTTCCTCACTCTCATCTCATGTACTGTAAAGTAGTTCAGGTGTGATGAGGTCCTGCCTCATCATGTCAGCTGTCTGTCCACATATTTGTCTCTCCTCCTGTGGACGACCCACTGTGTTTACATGTACATTCCAGCTGTAAATATCATGTATATATATGCGTCTGTCCGTGCATCTGTCTGCGTGCATTGCGTAAATATGCTCACTCCTCAGAAATCATTTCTTCCACTGTCAGATATCTCTCTTGCACCTTCTAACATTAATGATCTGTCTCTAATCTAAAAATCTTTCTTTTTTTTAATTTCCTGCTGCTGTTTTCTCAAACTGCATGATGTACTCGATCTGCTCAACTTCTAAACCACGCTATGTTTTGTCTCTAAATGATGTGATTTTAAATAAGAAAACTAAGAGTGAAAGACAAAGAAAGTCCAGCTAAACAGGAAAGAGTAAAAACACATCATCTGTTTTTTTATATATAAATACAACCACTGAAATCTTTTTGTATAGATTTGAGTACTTTAATTTGCACTATATTACCAAATGGGTGGTTGAAGCCATGTTTGTTAATTTCCTCTCTTGGGCTACTTGTGATAAGGAAATAAATGATGTCGGTTCAGGTAGATAAATATGAATGCAAGACACTGATGGAGCCTTTCAACTGTAAACATGGGACCTGGGAAATGCATCCTCTTGATAGCGAACCGTTTCTGAATATTTACATGCATTTGTGTGCATGGTTCAACATTAAAGTCATATATCTATGGAAAGCATGACTATATTTTACTTTTCAAGCTTTGGCATCAAAATGTCTTTGCTACCGAGAGGATGTGTTGTCCCAGGTCTGCCTGCTGCCTACAGACTGGTCCTTTGCGAATGATGTTCTGTGTTTTTTCTGACTGCTTGGTTTTTGTGTGTGACGCCCACAGAGGCTGCAACCCACTGCTGGTATTTCCGATATTAGAGCACTTAAACTGGCCTGACTCACCTTCTCACCTCCTCGTCACACTCCGTTGGCTCAGGGCCGTACTTTTCTGGATCTTTCTTATTAATTCAGTTAACTCAGCAGGCTTAATAGGAGAGCAGGATCCAAACACTTAACAGTGAGACTCACAGAGCATGTAACCTTCTGTCAATGTAAAGTGCTGATAACACAAAATATGCTTCTGTAGAACAAGCCCCCGCTGGTTGGTGTGTTCGTCCGTGGGCATGCAGTGTACATGCGTGGCTTTGCCGTGTTTCTGTTCTGTCCAGCATGTTAGGTGTGTCTGTGAGGACGTGTTGAGGATCAATGAGAATGTTGCCGCAGCACTTCTTTGCAAAGGATCGTTACCTCTGAACAATGCTGTGCCTTTGATGTAAGCTAGCCTTTGCCAACGACGCGAAAACGTGAACTGATTTCCTTTTTTTTTAATGTATCATAAGTGCAAGCCTGATTTAAGTGGATTGAATATCATTGCTGATACAATGTTGTATGAGATCTCATCTTGTTCTGTATTCTATTCATGTTTTCCAGATCTCCATTGTTAGTTTGGATATTTTAACATTTTGTTTTTGGTCTTATTTAAATTTTTTTATACAAGCTGTGAAAACAATTCTGCACTTTAATCCTGAACGTGAACATTTAGACTCTGAGGAGGTGACTGTTTTTTCCCCCCTTTTGTCACAGCTACAAATAAAACTGTTGCTTCTAAAACAAACCAGAGACTCAAAGTGTTTGTACAATAATGATGATGTCTCTCTCAGTCACTTAGTCTATTCACAATCACTCTTATCAACTTCCTCTGCATCGGTAATACTGAAGCACACACAGAGAACAATGTGTGAGAGCTCCAATACTATGTGTACAATCTGCTGAGGTCACACTAGAAGAAAACTGCATTATTGGCAGTTATTTAATGTGTGGGCTACATTAAAGTGGTAAAAAATAGTGCTTGCGTTTGCTTGGAAAAGAAAAGGTGGATTCATTAGAAATGTGTTAACAAATTGACCGCCAGATGTCACTATTTATCTCAGCTGTTCATTTCTATGGTGAAATTATAAAGTATAAAATAAAACCATAATATGCAGCTGCTCGTCACCCTACATGGCGGACAGTACGTATATTTCTTAGTGTTACTCATTCTACTGCAACGCAGGTGTATTATCAATTTATTTATTTAAATATATTAATTTGAAAATGTATTTAAAATCTTGATTTCATAATAGTAGTAACTACAAGCTGCCAAATAAATGTAGTGGAATGAAACATTTGAATGAGAAGGTATTCAAGTAAAGCACATGTACCTCAAGACTAAAGTATAATCTTGTACTTTATCACATTCCACCACTGACTGACTTTATACTACTAGTGTTACTACTAATAATAATATTAACGTATGACGATAATATCAGCTAACCTACCACATAAATACGTTAATTAATATAAGTTTTTTTTAGCTGTCATATTAACATTTACACTGTGCCTCTAATGCTAACAAATATTTGACCGTTGTTCATTTTCATGAGAAATGGCGCATCTTTTTTTACCTGCAGGTGCAAGTGGACCTTTCTCACATCGCGTCCACGTGCGATTGTTTTCATTCCGACGCCGCTGCTGCAGCGGCTCCTGACGTCACCGGCCTGGGTTGGCTCGTCAGTCTCGAACGGCTGCGCGCGTGCGTATGTCTGAGCGTGCGTGCGTGTGTGTGTGCGTGTGTGTGTGTGTATGGGTGTGAGTGAGCGCGTGCGCGAAACAAGGGGGGGACGGACATACACAACACACGGGCTGTCATTTCACCGCAGTTGTGTTCGGATTGAGAGGGGAAATTAAGGAAATACCAAAGAAGAAGAAGAAGAAGAAGAAAGAAGAAGAAGAAGAAGAAGGTCGCAGCGTTAACAAACTTTAAAAGATGGAACATTCGTCCAGCAACAACCGGTTTCGGTCCACAATCTTCAACCACGGTGAGTAACGTTGTCCTCGCATCTGAGACGTTTAACTCGGGTGATGCTCTTCTAGTGTCGTACATCGGACTGACCCAAAATGAAGTGAACACCTTCCCTTTAAATCGTGTTTTTATTTATTTTATTCATTAAGGACACACGGAGCTGTAACGTGAGCATGCACCGTTAAAACTCGTCACAGTCCCGACGAGCCTACAAGTCAAATGTTGTCCCGGTTTGTGAGCCGATGATAAGAGTACAGCTTGTTAAAGTGTGCAGGGAAATGGCACTCTCACCGGACCACAGGGTCCACAGGGTCCACATCCCTGAAAAGCCTGGCAGTGTGAGCTCCACACTGCAATTCTACTGTTATGCAAGAGTGGTACCAAGAATCGCCACAATGCACTATTTCTGTACCATGAAGATGTGAGTTAGTGTTAGCTGGATACCAATGAACGACTCGCCCCATCACCACACTGTTCGCTTTATTTAAAACAAGCAGCTCTGTGTCAGGAAGCTTTACACTGAAACCTAAATGAGACGTGATCGCTGCCTCTCTCCCACACTAACATAACTAACACTGCATTGTGAAGAAGCCCATATCAACACTTGAGATACATATATATATATATATATATATATATATAGGCCATTTAAAAAAATAGAAAGAAAGTAATAACAAAAACAATGTTTTATGTTCCCTAAAATTTTGCAGGTAGAAAAATAATTTGTCATTGCTTTCTGGTGGACAATTTAACTTATCAGCCAACATGTACACCCCTATGATATATCTTCAATAAGCTAATATCAGCTGATATATCGGACTAGCTCTGCTCCATACTTCCTGTCTGGGGGCATCAAAGAGATTTAGTATCCTGTTTCAAACACAGATCTCCTGTATCTGATCACATCTGGGAACAATGTACGCTACCACCCTGTCCGTCTAATGTTCATACAGGGTGTTTTATTTCATCAGTTTTATGATGCGGAGCAGGTGACGCTGCCGAACATCTGGCTCATTGAAACATTTGCCATGTGTGTTTATGATACTTCTGTGTTGGAGACGGTGGGAGGTGATGACAGCTCTCACTATGTAGTGTGTATGTGATGATTTATGTTGTATTACAAAACATAACCCAAGTTCAAAGAGCTTGAATGCTCAACAATTGTGTTAGAAGCTTTTAATTAGTCCTTTTTATGGGTCCATTTTACTCACACACTAGTCCTGTGTTCATTCAATTACATGGATATATCTAAATGTAATAGTATATATTACTGCATTGGTTCAACCAGAAAGCATGAAATGACTATTTTAAATCCATGTTGCACGTTTCAGAGCTTATCTCTTGTGCGGTTGGTCTTCTTTTGCCCTGAGATTCACCTTTAGCGTCTCTTGTCAGTTCATGTTTTCGTGGAGCCTCTTCAGATTTTACATCTTGGTGATGAGTTCAAATGTTAGTTTTTCCATGTCTGACTTTCATGTTTTACGAATGTCTGTTCCCGCTCACTGGAAAACTTGATCAACATGTCTTTAGTCATATTTATTTGCAGAACTTTGCAGAACTTTCACACAATTGAAACCTTGCAAGCAAGACATAATAACATAAATGTTCTCAATTAAACTCAATTTTTAGAGCTGTAGGTGGAACTAGAATACAGGCCTGTCTTATTGAGAGCCCATAACCTATTTAATAAGTAAAGCAACAAGACAACAACAACAACCCCTGACATCAGACTTACTCAAAAACAAAGTCAGTGAAAGGCACCCAGGAGAAAAGGGAGTGGTGTGGATGGGAGGCACAGTCAGCGACATTCCTCTGGGAGATCCTTGTGGAGAGATGCTCCTGTCCTCGCCGCTGTCTGTGGCTGCGCTCACAGCGTCGTTGGTGGAGGACCTCAGCATGTGGGTCAAGAGATGAACCACGAGAAAAATGAACAAGTCAAGCGAGTAGCCGTTATACCACAGCACTGGAATTTAACGTTGATCTGCAGCTCTGTAATAAGATGCGTTCAGCTCTAAAGTTGCAGCCATTTTTGTTGTTACCTGCCACAGAGATTTCACTCAAAGTGTCCGTGGAGTGAAGCGTACTGATGACAGCAATGTACAGCTCATACATTACACATTGTCCAGCTGTCAGCTGTTTTGTTTCTGCGGTTCCTAAAGTGGATGTAAATGGTGGCCGAGGTTATGATGGTACTTCAGTCCCCTGACCTGTGTCTGAGCATAGTCTGCTCTGTGAGCTGACAGGCAGCGATGGGCCCGAGTTTTAAAGTAGCGGATCATTATTTGTAATACTGCCAGTGAGTTTCCCTGGACAGGCAGCTCTGGAGTAAGTTTGTTTTGCCTCTTAAGAACTGAAAGAATCAGTAAATGTGCAAACATAATGAATAATTATGCTCAACTGATCGCAAAGAGCCCGACTTTGAGCTAACTGCCAGTTTGTTTCCTGAAGCAAAGCACGAGACATTCACCAGCCGAGTGCAGAAATGGTAGTTTTCCAAAATATATATTTTCCTGTAATAATTACTGTCCTGTATCATCGCAACCCATTCCCCGAGAAGGGACTAATCTGTACAAATGAAAACCTACCAAGAGCCCCTGCACGCTCAGCTTTTTGAAACCTAAAGTTCATGCCGTCTTTTAAGTACTTGGATACTTTCACAACATCATCCCTCAAGCTTTATCACAGATGTTTGCTAGATCTAGAGATGTGCCGAAGTAGATGTTGCTGGCTGTCTGATTAATCAACGAGTTGCTCTGGAGAAAGACGTATATCTAAGTAGGTCTGCATCACTAGTTAGTGTAGCAATAAGTCATGGTTAACAACATGTTTACACAGTTGTGTCTCTGCTCCTTTCCTATGTGTGACCTCCCGTGGATCAATCATCCTCCTCTATCCAGACGATGAGGTAAGAAACCAGACTTTTCCCTCAAATGTGCCGCCGAAGACGAAGTAGGTCGCTGGTGAAAGGAGATTTGGCCTCGATTATCTCACCAAAATGAGGGCATTGTGGTTTGTTGATGTCAGCCTATTTTACCCCTGATAGCTTCTGCTGGTCAGGCGGGCTTCTATGCGGCTTGTGTTCATTTGAAAGGAGTTTATGTTTTAAAGTTTCAAAAAAGTGATTTAAACTTGAGGTTTTAGGATGTCAAGCGTTGCTGAAGTCACAGACCTGCTGTTGTGATTTCCTATTCACAAAGTGTTCAGCTGAGCATGCGATTCTGCTGTGAATACTCTGAGCTTAGTGTGACTTCTCTCTGCTTCTATGCTTCGGGGTTTCACTTGACACCAAAGAGGAATAGCTGCATGAGAATTAGGTGTGTTCTCGAAAGCCCAGATTTTCTTGTTCCTTGTCTCGCCAAGTGACAACTGACAATCTGCTTTGTTCGTGTTCACTGTACATTTTTTTGTGTTGATAGTTGCCAAACAGCTCTCCTATTCTTCAGCAGAGAGTCCGCCTATCCTACTGTCTGAGTGTCCTGTTATCACCTTTCCAGTAGCCAGTGGCCTCAGCCACCTCAGTGTCAAAAGTGCTGCCCCCCGTCTTCTCTACTGCCGTTCTATATGTCGCTTGTCTACATCCGAAAAACCCTGCAGCTGTGTTTGGCCCGACTGAGTGGGGACGAAAGAGGGGGGGG